GTGCTAGAGTGCAGGCTGGGGTGTGCCTGGCAGTGCTAGAGTGCAGGCTGGGGTGTGCCTGGCAGTGCTAGAGTGCAGGCTGGGGTGTGCCTGGCAGTGCTAGAGTGCAGGCTGGGGTGTGCCTGGCAGTGCTAGAGTGCAGGCTGGGGTGTGCCTGGCAGTGCTAGAGTGCAGGCTGGGGTGTGCCTGGCAGTGCTAGAGTGCAGGCTGGGGTGTGCCTGGCAGTGCTAGAGTGCAGGCTGGGGTGTGCCTGGCAGTGCTGGGGTGCGGGCTGGGGTGTGGGCTGGGCTGTGCCTGGCAGTGCTGGGGTGCGGGCTGGGGTGTGGGCTGGGCTGTGCCTGGCAGTGCTGGGGTGCGGGCTGGGGTGTGGGCTGGGCTGTGCCTGGCAGTGCTGGGGTGCGGGCTGGGGTGTGGGCTGGGCTGTGCCTGGCAGTGCTGGGGTGCGGGCTGGGGTGTGGGCTGGGCTGTGCCTGGCAGTGCTGGGGTGCGGGCTGGGGTGTGGGCTGGGCTGTGCCTGGCAGTGCTGGGGTGCGGGCTGGGGTGTGGGCTGGGCTGTGCCTGGCAGTGCTGGGGTGCGGGCTGGGGTGTGGGCTGGGCTGTGCCTGGCAGTGCTGGGGTGCGGGCTGGGGTGTGGGCTGGGCTGTGCCTGGCAGTGCTGGGGTGCGGGCTGGGGTGTGGGCTGGGCTGTGCCTGGCAGTGCTGGGGTGCGGGCTGGGGTGTGGGCTGGGCTGTGCCTGGCAGTGCTGGGGTGCGGGCTGGGGTGTGGGCTGGGCTGTGCCTGGCAGTGCTGGGGTGCGGGCTGGGGTGTGGGCTGGGCTGTGCCTGGCAGTGCTGGGGTGCGGGCTGGGGTGTGGGCTGGGCTGTGCCTGGCAGTGCTGGGGTGCGGGCTGGGGTGTGGGCTGGGCTGTGCCTGGCAGTGCTGGGGTGCGGGCTGGGGTGTGGGCTGGGCTGTGCCTGGCAGTGCTGGGGTGCGGGCTGGGGTGTGGGCTGGGCTGTGCCTGGCAGTGCTGGGGTGCGGGCTGGGGTGTGGGCTGGGCTGTGCCTGGCAGTGCTGGGGTGCGGGCTGGGGTGTGGGCTGGGCTGTGCCTGGCAGTGCTGGGGTGCGGGCTGGGGTGTGGGCTGGGCTGTGCCTGGCAGTGCTGGGGTGCGGGCTGGGGTGTGGGCTGGGCTGTGCCTGGCAGTGCTGGGGTGCGGGCTGGGGTGTGGGCTGGGCTGTGCCTGGCAGTGCTGGGGTGCGGGCTGGGGTGTGGGCTGGGCTGTGCCTGGCAGTGCTGGGGTGCGGGCTGGGGTGTGGGCTGGGCTGTGCCTGGCAGTGCTGGGGTGCGGGCTGGGGTGTGGGCTGGGCTGTGCCTGGCAGTGCTGGGGTGCGGGCTGGGGTGTGGGCTGGGCTGTGCCTGGCAGTGCTGGGGTGCGGGCTGGGGTGTGGGCTGGGCTGTGCCTGGCAGTGCTGGGGTGCGGGCTGGGGTGTGGGCTGGGCTGTGCCTGGCAGTGCTGGGGTGCGGGCTGGGGTGTGGGCTGGGCTGTGCCTGGCAGTGCTGGGGTGCGGGCTGGGGTGTGGGCTGGGCTGTGCCTGGCAGTGCTGGGGTGCGGGCTGGGGTGTGGGCTGGGCTGTGCCTGGCAGTGCTGGGGTGCGGGCTGGGGTGTGGGCTGGGCTGTGCCTGGCAGTGCTGGGGTGCGGGCTGGGGTGTGGGCTGGGCTGTGCCTGGCAGTGCTGGGGTGCGGCTTCAGATTTCCTCTCTGCCACCCCACCCCCCATGCTCAGCACTGGGGCTGAGGACCAAGGGGGGGGGTTGGGGAAAGGGGCAACTTCCCGTGGAGAGGTTGACGGTACTGTCAGGAGGACTCACACGGGCACCACGCTGCCCTGCCTGGGCCGGCCCTGGGGCGATGGATGCAGGCAAGGGGAGATGGAGAGCGCACAGACCCGCCCGGGGCAAGGGCAGCAGACTCCTCCCCTGCCAGCAGACTCTGGGGAGACCAGAAAGGACAAAACGCTCCACCTTGCACTAGCCGAGTGGTGATGGCGAGCACGCGCTGCCGAGTGCCATCATCTCCCACGGGAGCTGGGGACCCTCCAGCCGCTGATATCACGGTACTGGATTCTGAGGGGAGCAGCCAGATCACGGCTGTACCCATGGGGGGGCGTTTGCCCCAAACGTTGGCACAAAGGGGGCCATGTGAGGTGTCAACTGAAAGCTTATTTCCTTCTGAGTCTCTATAAGGGTCTGTCTACACTACCCCGCTAGTTCGAACCAGGAGGGTAATGTAGGCATACCGAACTTGCAAATGAAGCCCGAGATTTGAATTTCCCGGGCTTCATTTGCATAAGCGGGGCGCCGCCATTTTTAAAACCCCGCTGGTTCGAACCCCGTGCAGCGCGGCTACACGGGGCTCGAACTAGGTAGTTCGGACTAGGATTCCTATTCCAAACTACCGGTACACCTCGTGGGGGGGGCTATGTTCAGCTCTCCGGAGCCAGTGTGGATACTTCCCCCAGGTGCTGCTGGGACCGTCCCTTTGGCTGTTTAATGCAGCCACGCTAGCTGCGCGTAGGCCTCCCTTGGCACCCTCCTGCTGGCGCAGCCCCTGGCGGGGAGAGCCACCCGGGCCCTTCACACGGGGCAGCTCCGAGCGCCCCAGCCCCGCCAGACAAGGGGGGCCAGCGAGCACCCTCGGGGGGGGG